ACTCTGTCCAATAATATTTCATCCTTATATCTATTTTTGATCAATGTACTAGCCTGGTAGATCAGAGGAATGGTGTTGATATAGTATACCTGGATTTCAGAGAATCTCTCAGAAGAGTTTCTAATATTCTGAGCAAATTGTTGATGTGTGGGCTGGATGCTGCTGCTGTTAAATGGATGATTGATTTATGGACCTGTTACTGTGAGTATATCTGCTGCTGCTGATATTGATTGTATTTTTGATTGTATTCTTCTTCATCAATGACTTTTTAGCAAACGAATGTGTAGTAATGAAAATAACACAGAGAGTTCAATTCTGGACACATTAGTTTTTATTTGTTTTTTAGGATCTTTATGAGCAATTTGGATGAAGGAGTATAAGAGGCAGTCATCAAATTTATAGTGACCTTGAGACCAATAGTAGCCATACTAAATAGGAGTGTGAAACGTTCCAGAAGTTGATTCAGGCTTTGGGTAATTTTGGTGATTTGGTAGCCAAACTGCCAAAATACAAACCGTGAAGGACCCTGCAAAGCCTTACTGAAATGAAACATAAGCTGCTGAATCTTTCAGCTAAATTCAGGAAAGATTTGTTGATTCAGACTTCTTTTTCATGGTAATAGTACTCTGCTGCCCCATGGACAGGGACTGGCATAGTGATGATTGACAAGAGCAGCTGCACACAGTGCCCCCCCCCCCATGTTAACTTAGTCATTGTCAATCAGAAGAATGAAGTGGATCATGCAGCTATTGGCCAAGCAGGTCTATATATAGCCTGCACGGAGCAACTCCATTTTATGGTGTGGTGGTGTGTTGGGGAGATAACGTGTAGGTCCATTCACTTCTCTTCACTGTACAGTACAGCTGCCTGTTACTCAGGATTTACAGCTCCAGTGCTAGCTTTTTGAAAATTAAATAAATTCTTTTTCTTTCAACATCATTCTTATCTTTTCTTCTTATTCTAACTTTTAATTTCAAAATTCTACTAGAGAAGTATGGGTGGGCATGCGTTGGGGCAGGTGGGCTGGGAGTTGAAAGGGCATTTCGAGTGTGTTTATTTTATTTTACTCTGCTAACAGTACAAGGCTCCAGCAAAGGATCACTGCCTTGTCATGGCACTGGAGTTTGAACGCCTCAATGATGTCACAAGCAAAACCATGAAGGGCCACTCAAGATGGTGCGGTCGCAGCAGAGAGGTCAGACCAAGCACAATCCCTGGGGGAGGCAATGGCAAACCACCCCAGTATTCTTGCCAAGAAAACTAAATGGACCAGTACAACAGAGATATGTCGGTATGCCATTGGAAGATGGGACTCCCAGGTCAGAAGATGGCCAAAATGCTACTGGGCAGGAGCAGAGGATAACTTCAGCTAGCCCCAGATGTGATGATGCAGCTATCTCAAAGCCAAAAGGAAGGCTAGCAGTCGACGGTGCTGGAGGTGAACAATGAATCCTATGCTCTAAAGATCAACACACCATAGGAACATGAAATGTAAGATCTATGAGCCAGGGCAAACTGGATGTTGTTATTGGTGACATGTCAAGACTAAAGATAGACATTCTGGGGGTCAGCAAACTGAAATGGACCGGAATGGGCCACTTCACATAAGGTGATCACCAGATCTACTACTGCAGACAAGAGGAACACCCAAGAAATGGAGTAGCCTTCATAATTAATAAGAAAGTCACTAAAGCTGTGCTTGGATACAACCCAAAAAATGACAGAATGATCTCAATTTGAGTGCAAGGAAAGCCTTTCAACATTACAGTGATCCAAATGTACACCCCAACCACAGCTGCTGAAGAAGCAGAAGTAGATCAGTTCTATAAGGATCTGCAGCACCTGCTGGATAATACACCAAAAAGAGACATTATTTTCATTACAGGAGACTGGAATGCCAAGGTGGGAAGTCAAATGACAACTGGGATCACAGACAAGCATGGTCTGGGGCAACAAAATGAAGCAGGATGCAGGCTGATAGAATTTTGCCAGGAAAACTCGCTGTGTATAACAAACATTCTCTTCCAACAATCTAAAAGACAGCTTTATACATGGACTCCACCAGACGGTCAACACCGAAATCAGATTGACTACATCCTTTGCAGTCAAAGGCGGCGGACATCCATCCAGTCGGTGAAAACAAGACCTGGGGCTGACTGCAGTTCAGATCATGAACTTCTTATTGCTCAATTTAGAATAAAACTAAAGAGATCAGGGAAAACACACAGACCAGTTAGATATGATCTCACTAACATTCCTAGCAAATATGCAGTGGAAGTGAAGAACAGATTTAAAGGACTAGATTTAGTAAATAGAGTCCCAGAAGAACTATGGACAGAAGTCTGCGACATTGCTCAGGAGGTGGCAACAAAGTGCATCCCAAAGAAAAAGAAAACCAAGAGGGCAAAATGGTTGTCTGCTGAGACACTGAAAATAGCTCAAGAATGGAGGAAAGCAAAAGGAAACAGAGATAGGGGAGATATGCTCAATTGAATGGACAATTCCAGAGATTAGCCAGAAAAGATAAGGAACTATTTTTAAATAAGCAATACATGGAAGTGCAAGAGGACAACAGAATAGGAAGGTCAAGAGATCTCTTCCAGAAAATTAGAAACATTGGAGGTAAATTTCAGGCAAAAATTGGCATGATAAGAAACAAAGATGGCAGGGACCTAACAGAAGCTGAAGAGATCAAGAGAAAGTGGCGAGACTATACAGAAGATCTGTATAGGAAGGATAATAATATTGAGGATAGTTTGGACGGTGTGGTGAGTGAATTAGAACCGGACATCCTGAGGAGTGAGGTTGAATGGACCTTAAGAAGCATTGCTGACAACAAGGCAGCAGGAGACGACGGGATCCCAGCTGAACTGTTTAAAATCTTGAAAGAGGATGCTGTCAAGGTGATGCATGCCATTTGCCAGCAAATATGGAAAACACAAGAATGGCCATCAGACTGGAAAAAATCAACTTATATCCCCATACCAAAAAAGGGAAATGCGAAAGACTGCTCCAACTTCCGTACAGTGGCCCTTATTTCTTATGCCAGAAAGGTAATGCTCAAGATCCTGCAAGGAAGACTCCAGCAATACATGGGGTGAGAGTTGCCAGATGTACAAGCTGGGTTTAGAAAAGGCAGAGGAACAAGAGACCAAATTGCCAATATCCACTGAATGATGGAGAAAGGCAGGGAGTTTCAGAAAAACATCTATTTCTGTTTTATTGACTATTCTAAAGCCTTTGACTGTGTGGATCATAATAAATTGTGGCAAGTTCTTGGTGGTATGGGCATACTAAATCACCTTGTCTCTCTCCTGAGGAATCTGTACAAGGACCAAGCAGCAACAGTAAGAACTGACCATGGAACAACAGACTGGTTCAAGATTGGGAAAGGCATACGGTAGGGTTTTCTACTCTCACCCAACCTATTCAACTTGTATGCAGAACACATCATGCAATGTGTGGGGCTTGACAAATGCAAGGCTGGGGTAAAATTGCTGGAAGAAACATTAACAACCTTAGATATGCAGATGACACCACTTTGATGGCCAAAAGTGAGGAGGAGCTGAGGAGCCTTCTAATCAAGGTGAAAGAAGAAAGCGCAAAAGCTGGGTTGCCGTTAAACATTAAAAAAACCCTAAGATTATGGCAACAAGAATGATTGACAACTGGGAAATAGAGGGAGAAAACCTGGAGGCCTTGACAGACTTTGTATTTCTAGGTGCAAATATTAGTGCAGATGCAGACTGCAGCCAGAAAATCAGGAGACGCTTACTTCTTGGGAGGACAGCAATGTCCAATCTTGACAAAATAGTGAAGAGTAGAGACATCACACTGGCAACCAAGATCCACATAGTTAAAGCAATGGTATTCACCATAGTCACCTACGGATGTGAGAGCTGGACCATAGAGAAGGCTGAGTGAAGGAAGATAAATGCTTTTGAACTGTGGTGTTGGAGGAAAATTCTGAGAGTGCCTTGGACCACGAGAAAATCCAACTAGTCCATACTTCAGGAAATCAAGCCCGACTGCTCATTGGAGGGAAGGATAGTAGAGGCAAAACTGAAGTATTGTCGAAGGCTTTCATGGCTGGAATCACTAGGTTCTTGTGGGTTTTTCGGGCTATAGAGCCATGTTCTAGAGGCATTTCTCCTGACGTTTCGCCTGCATCTATGGCAAGCATCCTCAGAGGTAGTGAGGTCTGTTGGAAGTAGGAAAAATGGGTTTATATATCTGTGGAATGGCTGGGGTGGGGCAAGGAGCTCTTCCCTGCTGCAGTTAGGTGTGAATGTTTCAGCTGACCACCTTCATTAGCATTTGAAGGCCTGGTTGAGCCTGGGGGAATGTTTTGTTGAGAGGTGTTAAGATGTGCCTGGTTGTTTCCTCGCTGCTGTTTTGCTGTTGTAATTTTAGAGTTTTTTAATACTGGTAGCCAAATTTTGTTCATTTTCATGGTCTCTTCCTTTCTGTTGAAATTGTCCACATGCTTGTGGATTTCAATGGCTTCTCTGTGTAGTCTGACATGGTGGTTGTGAGAGTGGTCAATCATTTCTGTGTTCTCAAATAATATGCTGTGTCCAGGTTGGTTCCTCAGGTGCTCTGCTATGGCTGACTTCTCTGGTTGAAGTAGTCTGCAGTGCCTTCCATGTTCCTTGATGCGTGTCTGGGCGCTGCATTTGGTGGTCCCTATGTAGACTTGTCCACTGCATTTGGTGGTCCCTATGTAGACTTGTCCACAGCTGCATGGTATACGGTAGACTCCTGCAGAGGTGAGAGGATCCCTCTTGTCCTTTGCTGAACGTAGCATTTGTTGGATTTTCTTGGTCGGTTTGTAGATTGTTTGTATGTTGTGTTTCCTCATCAGCTTCCCTATGCGATCAGTGGTTCCCTTGATGTATGGCAGGAACACTTTTCCTCTGGGTGGATCTTCATCTTTACTCTCGTGGCTTGTTCATGGTCTTGCAGCTCTTCTGATGTCTGAGGTGGAGTATCCATTGGCCTGGAGAGCCCAGTTGAGGTGGTTCAGTTCATCTTGGAGGAGGTGGGGTTCGCAGATTCTTTTTGCACGGTCTGACAAGGCTTTAATGGTGCTTCTTTTTTGACTTGGGTGATGGTTGGAGTTTTTATGTAGATATCTATCTGTGTGTGTGGGTTTTCTGTAGACGGTGTGACCCAATTGTTGATCTGGTTTGCGGATGACTAGGACATCTAGAAAAGGCAGTCTTCCTTCATTTTCTTTTTCCATGGTGAACTGGATGTTTGGGTGGATGCTGTTAAGATGGTCCAGGAACCTGTTGAGTTCTTCTTCTCCATGGCTCCAAATGGTGAAGGTGTCATCCACATATCTGAACCATATCGTGGGCTTTTTGGTTGCTGTTTCCAGGGCTTGTTCTTCAAAGTGTTCCATGTAGAAGTTAGCTATGACCGGGCTGAGAGGGCTCCCCATAGCTACTCCATCTTTCTGGTCGTAGAATTCATTGTCCCACTGAAAGTAACTGGTGGTAAGGCAATGGTGAAACAGAGCCGTGATGTCTTCTGGGAACCTCTGGTAGATGAGTGCCATGGTGTCTGCTACCGGGACCATGGTAAATAGAGATACCACATCGAAGCTGATCAGTTTGTCATCGGTATTTAGCTTGAGATTGCTGATTTTTTCTATGAAGTGGGCTGAGTCCTTGATGTAGTGCGTAGTGAGCCCAATATGGGTTTGTAAGTCCAGCCAAAATTTTTGCTAAGTGATACGTGGGGGATCCAATGGCACTCACGATGGGTCTGAGTGGGGTGGAGTCCTTATGGATTTTTGGGAGTCCATAAAGCCTGGGTGGATGGGCTTCCGATTTACATAGCTGTTGTCGTATGTCAAAGTTTATGGAGGAGTTCTTAATCAGTGTGTTGGTTTTCTTGGTTATTTTGGCAGTTGGGTCTTGCTTGAGTTTTTTGTATATAGTAGGGTCCAGGAGTTTTCTGATCTTCTCCTTGTATTGTTCTGTATGCATGATAACTGTGGCATTCCCCTTGTCTGCTGGCATAACGAGGATATCCGGATCTGAATTCAGTTCTCTGATGGCTTGTCTTTCCTTCCTAGTAATGTTACTGGAGGGAAGTTTTGCCTTTTTCAGGATCCTTGCTGTTTCTGCTCGTACTTCTTCTGCTTCCTCCTCGGGGAGGCGATAAATTGCTGATTCAACATTGGCAATGATGTTTTCTACTGGGATCCTGGTGGCGGTTACAGCAAAGTTTCCTCCTTTCGCTAGTATGGATACTTGGTCTTCAGAGAGTTGTCTGTCTGTCAGGTTGATGATGGTCCGTGATGTATCCAGTTCTGGTTTCGGCTGTTGCTTTTGGCGTTTGTGGAATTTTTGTTTTTGTCTGTTGGTGTGGACAGCCATGTTTTTCTCCATTTTCCTGTAAGTGAGGTTGTCTATTTTGTCCCAGTCCTGGGAATTCATCTTCTGGCTGATGTTGATATGGAGGTGCAGCAATTCCTTGCAAACACAGACAAGGAATTGCTGCACCTCCATATCAACATCAGCCAGAAGGTGTAAAACTGAAGTACTTTGGCCACATAATGAGAAGACAGGAAAGCTTAGAGAAAACAATGATGCTGGGGAAAATGGAAGGAAAAAGGAAGAGGGGCTGACCAAGGGCAAGTTGGATGGATGGCATCCTTGAAGTGACTGGATTGACCTTGAAGGAGCTGGGGGTGGTGACGGCCAACAGGGAGCTCTGGCGTGGGCTGGCCCATGAGGTCACGAAGAGTCAAAACGACTGAACGAATGAACAAAAAACAGTACTAGGATTTTAAAAGACTTTTTTTGCTTTTGAAACTTGAAATGCCAGCCATACCTACCTACCTACCTACCTACCTACCTACTAGTTCCTACCTAAGTACCTACCTTTCTTGCAGTTTGTGTGTGTGTACTCCAGCACCAGCAGCTTAAAGCCCCTCCCCGCCCCAAAAAATGATGGAAAATGATGGATGAGCCTCACCAGTTTCCCCATTAGTGCGAATGGACCGAATCTGGATCCCAAGTTATGAATCTAAATGCCCCCCAATCTCCCTGAATCTTCCCAAAAATGGAACCGGGGAGTGGGGGAACAGCCCAAAATTAAAAATGAAAATGGAACAAATTTCTGCCATTTTGCACACCCCTAATACTAAATGAATAGGAGTCATCCTCAAATTCTTGGAAAGAACTTCAGATTGAAAATAAATAAATAAAAATGAGACACTGGAATGGATAAATTTATTCACCCAGTCCATGGTCTTTCTATGCTCAATCAAAAAATTGTAATTGTCTGCTTGGCTATGTAAATACTAAATAGTGGTTGCTGCCACCACCACCCCTCCCATGACCTACTCATTTTTTAACACATAAACAGCATCCATATTAGGCATGATCCTCTGTATGCTGTAAATAAGTGTAAATATTAGATTTATGTGAATTTATGACAATTCACGTATTTTGACTCCAGTGACATTAAGAATGGGAGGAGACAATATGTGCCATTCCATGTCCCTAGGCCACCCATGTCCAGGAAATATTGAGTGGCAGTGAAAACAATTGTTGCAAGTTCTGTCTCGGAATCAGCTCAACTATTTACATGGACCAAAAGTCAGGATATATTTTGTCCTTTTGTGTTTCTGTTCTATTTACTTGGACAAGGATGGTAGGAGAGGGGAGGAAGAGTTACTAACTGGTTCTGTTATAAATCAAATCCTGCTGACTTGTTTGCTTGCATGTATGTGTGCAAGCTGTATTCTGAAGTCCTAGTTTGAAGTTCTAATTCTAGGTCAAAATATTAAAATATAGGCATGCATTTTTACTCAATGAATTCCTCTTCAACTACTTCAGTGTGCTTCACCTGGCTTTGTCACTTGGGATGTAACAGACAACATGAGCAAAAGTGGCAATGCGGTGATGTGTTTATTTGGATTCTGTGTTTGTTCACTGAAAGCCAGTTCACCACCTCTGTGCGTACATCACAATGCATTTATGTTTGTTCATGCTCAGTTGTTTACTGATTTCCCCCAAATTGACCAAAATTGGTATTGAATTTGTGTGGTTAGATTAAATTAGGGATTTGGGAGATTGCAGCTGGCATGTTTAATCAAGGATTATTTAAGGACTGCACGGGCTGCCAGTAGGTTCTCTGATTGCTGGCCATTTACTAGGTTTGTATTGAATGTCCTCTTCAGGCATAGGAGATGCAATGAAATATATATATATATATATATATATATATATATATATATATATATATATGCCCTCAATACTTCCCATTTCAGTACAAATCTGTTAAGGATGCATCCCAAACAGTCAGCTTAAATGCAGCCACTCATGTGCTCCATATCAAAGGCAAATGCTACATTTTATTTAGGTGATGTATTTTTTTTGGTATGGTTTCTATCATAATTTCTTTTTATTCTGTTTTGCAAGAGTTTTCAGGAAGAGCTTCTGAATCCACACAACAGCTGGTTAGTACATTTTTAAATTTGGGTGCTCATTCTGATAGTACCTCTGGCATATTTCCAGAAAATGTCCAAACATGAAGGCAATATTTATTTCACATTATAGTTGTTTTCATCTCCAGCACATCTCTCAAACTAACAGGTCTTAGTTGTTCATTCAAGACTAGACAAAATATATGGGATTAAAACAGGGACAGGTCACAATGTATATACTGGCTGGTGTAAATAGGACAAAATAAGGTCAGAATGTCAGAAAGCCAGGTCCAGCTGTGGGAATCCATTGAAACAGTCATCCTGACATGGAAAACCAAGTTGGGGGAGGGGGAGTGAACAAAAAAGGAAGGAAGAGCACCACAGAGATAAGAGCCATTGGCTCAAGCTTATTTTGAGAACTGGAAAAGAAACGAATTGGGGGGTGGGGTGTAGAATGGTTGGTAGAACTGGCTTTATTGAAATCTCATAAGAAGGAAAGAAAGACTTGGCTTTCAGTGATCTTCATTGTGAGAATGTTTTATTTCCGAAACCTTTCAGATTCTGACACAGAACCCTGAATGCAACTGTTCAGTGACTTGTGTGCAGAAACAAAAAGAACAACAAAAGTAGTCAATCCAGAGAAATAGAAGATGCCAACAAAAAAGTATAACAAGAGACCTGTCCTTCAAGATCTGAGAAGTAAATGGATCTTAGAACAAATCAGTCCTGAGCAATCCCTGGAGGCAAAGATGACTAAAATGATTTTTTTTGTAGCTTGGACATACCATAAAAATGCATAACATGCTGTTTAATGTTTAGCAAGGTGGAAGGAAGTAGGAAAAGAGGAGAATCACACTGAAGATGAATAAAATAAGTTAAGTAAACCACAGTGATGAGCGTGCAAGATCTGAGCAAGACGTCTCATGGCAGGGTGACTTGGTAGGCTCTTATTCATGGCATTCCATGAATCAAAGTCAAATTGATAACAGCTGCAACAGCAATGCACATACCTGGGTTTAATTTAACCTGTGCTCATTTTTTTTAAATGGACATACAGAGAATGGATTTCAACCCTACTATTCATACTGAACTGCTGTGACTTGACTTTAGCCTTCCTGATCTGTGGTGTACACCTATAAAATCATTCAGAGATGATGGGATAATAGAGCACAGAGAAGTAATAGATGACTGTGCTCTATCAGCACAGTAAAGACATTCCTTTGAATGCCATGAAGTCCTCTGTCAGCCCAGGATAATATCACTTTTCCATAACTTCCAACATTCTTCCAATGAAAACTGAGACACATGTGGCCAAGCCACATCAGGGGCAAAAGTTATTCATGATAAAGAACACATAATCTAGAAGAGGATATGAAAATTTTCTTTTGTTTGAATGTTCTGGGGAGGCAAAGATTCCATCTCTCCTCTTCTTTTCAGTCAACTAAGTTAAATACAATCTACTTTTTGCACTTTGAACTCAGCTTGTGGTAATGAAATAACCCAAGGGATGAGGGGGAAAGAGGATGGAAAAGAGCCAAATTTCGAAAGCACTGAAACAGGGGGAAGATGAGAATAATCAAGACTCTTCCTGAACACTTTGAGTTTATACTATCTATTTATTTACTCTATCCCGCCTTTCTCTACCCCAAAGGGAACTCAAGACAGCTTTACAAATGGCACCTATTTGATGGCTTTAGACAACAGTCAATTAAATACAGTTAAGTTAAAATTTAAAATTAGAGTTAAAATGCACATTAAAACATATCAATATTATAATTTCTATTAAAATCATGCCAACCACAATTGTAAAATTGTAAACTGGGGCAATTCCAAGCATCATTGCACAATATGTATGCAGCTTTTTCTGTCTGTGGCTGGCAGCAACTACAAACTGCTACTTTACCCTTGTTTGGGTATGGAAAACTGCCTAACTTGAAACCTGCCATTTTTCAAACCTGAAGCTGTTGAGAGATGGTGAGGAGAGGTGGTGTTGAGTCCTTTGCCGTCCAATAAAAAAGGGGTGGGGGTGGGGGATGAGGAGGAGAACAGAAGTTCCAAAAACTGTGGGGATGCATCACAGCACTGGGATTCAAACTGTGCCCTTCTTTAAGAGAATAATTCACTCCTTTCTGCTGGAGAAGTTACAGGATGGGGCCAGTGAGAATACCTTTTTAGGAATTTTTAAAAGGACATTTTATTTCTAGAAAGTAAATTTT